AACTCTTGGAGGGAGTGTATCTCTATAAGAAAGGAAGAAGCAAACCAACGAAGGAAGGAAAGAGAAAAGAAAACCAGTCCTGTAAATTTGTGTCTCTCATATTGACATCTATGAACTGGTTCCTGAAAGTGGCAGCCATCTCGTCAAAGCTTAATAGGATGAAATGAAATCCAGAAAATGTAAAGCTGTTTTTGGTGATAGTTAAGATGGATGCAGAGTTGGCTGCTTAGTCAACTCTTATTGGAATAGCTTTCTGTCTCTGTGTGTCCATACACAGTTTAAGGATGTTCTTTGACTGAGTTTCATTGCTTGATGCTCAGATGACTGTGGTGACAACATCTGTAGCTGTTTCTGGAACATGGTGACCTTATGAGAATGACTCACACCCTTATCATTTCTTAGCAATGTTACTGTAATAGTCTCCATATTGGGTTGCATTTGAAGACCCTTTAGAACCTCATAGATGCAAAACCCAGCAGGTAGAGTTTTGACTATCTCTAAGAGATCAAACTGTACAGAAATGCTTTCATCCAGTTGTTTTGGTTACCAGTTCACTTCTAAGGACACTTTGAAGTGCTGGGCTTGACCTCTACATCTCTAAATGGTTGAGACCAAAGTACTTGGGAAATGCCCGTATTTCCATGAATTCGCCAAGCCAAAGAGATTTTTCTTAAAAAATTCCCACACCTCAGAAACCAAAATAATTTTTATATGAATGCAGATCTGTTTAATAGCTGCTCCCATTTTGTAAATTTGCTCCTATTTAGCTCCACTGACCTTTCCCCCTTCATTTGGTTTCTTTTATAACCAGTCCCACCTTTCTAACTGATTTTTTTTTTTAGAAAATGTATACACATTCGATCAAAATATATATACACATTTTAAAAACTAATTAATTGTTGTATATGCATTTAATTGTGGTTTAATTACCTAGTTGGTTGATCTGAGTGCTTTTAAAAGAGAAAAGCAGGATAAAAATGGTGGAAGGAAAGAAGGAAAAAAGATTTGGGAGAAAACTTAATAGTACATTTTAAAAAAGAGAGGGGGCAGAGAGAGGGAGAGAGGGAGGAGAGAGGGGAAGGGGGAGAGGGAGAGGGAGGAAGAGAGAGAGAGAGAAAGAGAAAGAGAAAGAGAAAGAGAGAGAGGCCAGTCCTATTTAAATTTGAAGCAATAACAGAAGAACTCTGTAAACAGCTTGTTGATGACAAGAGTAAATTATTCTTTTGCTTAGAAATGGATGATGCCATGGCTGGTGCCTCACCCATAGCTAGCCCAAGGGAGCCATTGCTAACAATACCCTGAAACAGGCACTTTAATGGAACTGAGATAAGGAGAATATTCTGAATACTTGGAAACAAGGACTTTGAAGGGGAAAAGATAACCATCTCTCTCAAACTGAACTTGAGATATCTGTGAGGAGAAAAACAGGAGGAGGAAAAAAAAATTAAAATGCTTTCTTCATCTCATTATTCAGGCACTATAGCCATGTCCTCCAAAGCTATGACACAAATAATTGAAATGATGTTTGGAAATACTTATGTGTGGTCTCTCTCTCTCTCCCTCTCTCTCTCTCTCTTTTTTTTTTTTTTACAAATGCCCATTTGAGAAAGATAGCAAAGAGTCTAAAAGAAAACTTAGGTCAAAGTTATGTTTGGTAAAATTCTATTTCTAAGCCACACACACGCACACACTACTGTTAAGACTAAAATGAGGATTACCAGGAAACAAGGCCATGCTAAATGCATCTATTGTACAGCCTTGCCTTCCTCAGTAACTCTCCTGTTTTGCTGTTTAGGAAGCAAAATCAGCATGTTATTAAATTTTTGGTAGCCCACCATACCTTGGGAACTGCATTTAATTTAATAGCCCATATGTTGTATGGACCTGATTAATACAGCCAAGCAGAAAATATTGAATTATGGTAAATAGCAATCCCAATCTTTAAAACAGTTCCAAAAAAAATCAGGTTTAAAATGATTTTGTTACAAAAACTCTTTGGAAAGTGACAATGTATTTCTCTAAATCAGTGTTGCTTATTCCAGTTAGGATTTGGAAAGTTCCCCTACTATATAATGTTAAAAGTTGAATCTAGATGCTTCTACATCTGGAGGCATATTCTGTATTTTTAGAAAACCTTCTTCTGCTTTTTGCAATCAAATTCATTTTTAAAAATTGACCCCACACCCCTAACTGTGGGCTTAAACTCAATCCTGCTTGTCTAGGATAAACTGTTGTTGAAGGGATGGGTGCTTGGTTGGGCCTGGCCCAGACTATGGATTGTTATGACAGGAGGAGTTGCCACCATTTTTGTAATATACATTACTTCTAATCCTGGACTACCCTTATTTCTCTTTTGGGAAGTCAAGAAGATGTTGGGATATAAACTACACAGGGCTCTGGAAGAATGAGTTATCCCGAGTCATTTCAGTCAGGGTTGAAATCTCTAGTGGTCTCTCATGCCCTTATCACCCAATGTCTGAATTACTGTAATTTGCTCTACGTGGGATTGCCCTTGAAAACAATTGGGAAACTTGATTGCAGTTACTTGCAAGACAATGGGAAAAACTCTGTCACAACTATGTAGTGGGAACTACTTTGGTTGATGATTTGTTTCTGAATGCCATTCAACATGCTGGTCATGACTTATAAAGTTCTAAAGGGCTTGTGTGATGACTCCCCTGGACGCTTCCCCAGATACCTCTTCAGATGTCAGCTTGAGGAGGATAAACCAGTTCCTGGGACATCAGGAGGGGAGTGGGTCAATGGCTCCAAATAGCCATCTGAGAGTGATTTGGTTGAAGCACAGCTGCAGCAGGCTAGCCCTGAGGCGTCAGATGGGGACAGCTGCAGCCGGTCAGGGAAGAAGAAGAGGAACTACCTTCTGCGCTTGATCCAAGAACACGTAGGGCAGAGAAAAGGCAGGAGCAGTGAAAGACAGCCAAATTACTGATGAGGATAAAGCCTTGCCCTTCTTGATGGGCTGCACCGGAAGCTGGCTGTTCAGCACAGTAAAGAGATGGAGGCAATTCTGGGAACAACATGTTCATTTCTGGTCATTGTGATCCCTGCCTTGCTTTGGATTGACACCATGCCTTGACTTGGATTCTACCTTGTGAACTCTGGCCTTTTCTTGTCATGAACTCTCTTGTATTGTGGGTTTAATTTTGCCTTGTGGGTTTAATTTTGCCTTGTCGGTTTAGTTTGATTGGGAAACTTTCAAGTGCCTTGTGGTCTCATTGGTCATTGCTCTGTGGACTAGCTTTGGTCTGCTTTGTGGCTAGACTTAATTGGGACAGTTCTGGGCTTTTGGTGAAGGGAATTGCTGGGGAATATTAATAAACCCACTAAACCAGGGTAACATGTGTGTTTGACCTCCTGATGACTTCTTTTTACTGGTCCATGATAGAAAGCACCCTCACATATTGTGTCACGGCATGGCATGCTGGCTTAACAGCCGCGGATAGGAAGGCATTACAGAGGGTGATGAGCACAGCACAAAAAAATCATGGGCTGCCCCCTAACCCCACTGGATGAAATTGCCAGGTCCTGCTGTCTCGAGTGAGGAAAATTCTTAGGGATGATTCATACCCTGGACAGCATTTTTATATTCTCCTACCATCGGGCAGGAGATATAGAAGCATAGCCAGCCGAACAAATAGGCTGAAAAATAGCTTTTATCCATGGGCTGTCAGACTCTTAAATGCAACGTAACACCACAATCAGGTTTAATGTGATAGACTTAAAGTGCCAGTGCACTGTGCAACATGTATATACGGGTATAATATAATATTTATATATGTGTGTTTGCGTGTGTGTGTGTGCGCGTGTGTGTGTGTAAATGTGTGTAAATGTGTGCTCTTATTGAGATATATTCTGTGTCCTTGGGTGGGCTGCACCAAGGGAGGCTCATTCAATTTCATTGTACACATGCTGTGCATTGACAATAAAGGTTTGTTTGTTTGTTTTTGATTGATTGATTGATTGATTGATTGATTGAGTGAGTGAGTGAGTGGGATAGCACAGCTTGGAGGTGGGCTAGTTTTGAGATCATCAACTACAGATAGAATCTGCTAATCTATAACATACATGCAGAAAATATAATCTAAAAGTCTCCATCCATTCATTCACCCACCCATCTTCCATCCATCCATCCATCCAGTCATCCATTCACCCATCATTCCACCCATGAGATGCAGCATGTGAGAGCTCAGATGTAACTTTGGGCTCCCTTCCTATGGAAAATATATATATATATATATTCTATTCCATCTATTCTCTGCCTCCCACATCCCAGCTGATCGGGAGGAAATGGGGATTTTGCAGTAACCTTCCCCTGGATTGGGGAGGGAATGGATATTTTACAGTATCCTTCCCCTGGAGTGGGGTGGGAATGGAGATTTTGCAGTATCCTTGCCCTGCCATGCCCACCAAGCCACACTCACCAAGCCACACCCACAGAACCATTAGTAAAAATTTTTGAAGCCCACCACTTATCTCTCTCTTTCTCATTCACATCATGTATCATATGTATCAGAGCTAGTATATACTTTCCCAGCAAATGTTCCATCCATTTAAAGGAACAGAGAATCAGATGGAGTCCTTCAGAAGAAAATTCTAAGTCACCACTTAAAAGATTCTGCCTTCCTTGCTAATGCTGGAAGTCAAGGAATGTGTGATGGGACTCAGATGATTGAATATATTGTGAATATTGTGGATGTAAGCACAATATATTCTGTCGTGAATAAACCAACCCATTTTTCTCATTTGGATGGCAGTTATTGCAAAAGGGATCTAGACCGAGGTGCCATTCATTCATATCTCATGCTTTTTAAAAAGGTAAGACCTCCTTTGGATCAAGTTTATCTGTTGATGACTGCCTAGATATGTCCATGCAGTTTTCTTGGCAAGAATAGAATAGAATAGAATAGAATAGAATAGAATAGAATAGAATAGAACAGAACAGAACAGAACAGAACAGAACAGAACAGAACAGAACAGAATAGAACAGAATTCTTTATTGGCCAATAAAGATTGGATACACAAAGAATTTGCCTTCGGTGCATAAGCTCTCAGTGTACATAAAAGATATAAGTGATAAATCAAGATCATAGTAATCATAAATACACTGATCATGAATCATAAGATACAACTCTTAGCAATAGTCATAGGACACTAAATAAGAAATCAACATAAATCATACTAGGAAACTAAATAAACAATATAAATCCTAAAGATACAAGCAACAAAGTTATAGTCATAAGTAGAAAAGGAAATAGATAACTAGTGGTTTTCTACTTCCTTCCTCTGAGATATCTGTTCAGCTTTCCAGAATACCAGACTAAGAAGTCACTGCTGTTGCTCCTTGTTAAATTTTTGAGGCTATGTTTGAGTATCTGCTGAGCCACATGCAATCTAATCATCATAACTCACTCTCCACCACCTACTTTATACCTCCAGCCTTAATGCTTCCAAACAGGCTAAGGAAGTTGTAATATCATCCTGCAATAGATCGAGGTAGAACACAGACGAAATGAGCTAGCTTTGAAGTACTTAGTGGCTTTCGATATTTAAAAGGAAAGAATTAAAGAGAACAGGAAATATGAAATGCATGGCACCTCCCTCTTCCCAAGCTTATTTAAAATCATTTTGTCTCTTGAGATAATAAAAGATGTTGCTTTCCAGGGATTATATATGAAATCAGTTTCAAACATTGCAAATAAACCATTTTTGTATTTCTGATTTTTTTCTCTCCTTAGGATGAATATGATTCCCATTCATGATGTCTCCAAATCTGGCTTAAAGGTACGAAACCTGAAGAAGACAGAACAAGCATCTTAAATTACTAATTAACAGAAGAATAGCAAACAGACTGAGCAAACCTGTGGCTCAGACTTCAACACAATGCTGAAATAAACTATAGTCCTGTTTAGATTTTTATTGCTGTTAATTTAATCACACATAGATCAGGGGAGGGGGGAAACAAGACAGCAAAAATTAAACAACTGATGAACAGGAGTATAGGTTGTCCTAGTTTAGTGACCACAACTGCAACTGGAAACTCAGCCATTGAGCAAATCAGTCACTAAATGAAAGTACGACTGTGCTTATGGTCTTACTTCAGCTTTCCTGTGTTTTATAGACCTGCAAAGGTGGTAAATGCAAGGAATGATTGCAAAGTTACTTTTTCATCACCATTGAAACTAGAAACAGTTGTGAAATGAGGCTGTTAGGATATGGTTTGAGCCTAACAAGTTGTCCAGGCAATATATGTGTTCTGTGACTTTAATATGAATATGTATTGTGTGACTTTAAAGTTTTACTGCTGATTCATTGTAATGCTGAGTCATGCTGTAATTAGATAATCACTGGTTGTGAACGTATTTAAGAAAGGTACTGTAAAGTATTCAGTTGATGATAAGCTACCATTGTGTGTGGAGTTGCAACCATTGTGCTATCATCGGTTGGATGGATCTGCTACAGTGGTGGGTTCCTCCCGGTTCGGTCCGGTTCGGCCGAACCAGTAGTGGTGACGATATGACGTCACTGAACCGGTTCTCCCCCCCGCCGCCCTCCCACCCCCCCACCCCCCCACGTTATTCTTACCTTTTATTTGGTCCCACCCCCAATCTATTGCTGCCTCCTGAGTCCCAGCTGATGACTAGAGGGAAAAAAACTGTTTAAACTCTTGCTGCGGGGCTTCAAAGGGCCGTCCTACAGCTGATCAGTGTTAAAAGCAAACAAATGAGTCAGGTCGTAAGTGCGAGGACTGGTCGTAAGTGTGAGGACCTTCCAGAAATGACTCTGACCAGCTAGCCACGCCCACCTAGTCACATGACCTCCAAGCCACACCCACAAAATAAGCCACGCCCACAGAACCAGTAGTAAAATAATTTAGAACCCACCCCTGATCTGCTACCATCGTGGTTTGTGAAGCAGAGTGAGTTTGTTATTCTAACCAACTACTGTTTGTGTGGTAAGAAGAGTTTTTGTATCACTGGTTTAAAGACTATGAGACTGTTTTTTCACTATAAAGTAAACTTTTGATAAACCAGTTTGCATATCTCTTATTCATTGCTCTCAGCAACGTTTCTCTGTGCTTTACACTCTGCTGGTTGGTAACACAACAACGATATCCTTAACAGAGGCAGTCGCTAAAAAGGACCTGTAACAGCTTGGGACAAGAAATGTATCTGAGCAATTAGTGAAATACCTTTGTTGGTTGATTCAGATGTGTCTTCTTCCAAGGCAGAGCATTCCATAGCAAAGATCCCATAATGTAAAAGGTTCTGGCTTAGTTAACCATCTTGTACATTTCAAACCATATGTTGTTGCAAAGTGTCCAGAGCAGGGGTGAAATGCACTTACCTTGCTACGCTCGTGCGCGCCTCCTCCATGCATGAGCAGAGTCTTCTGCGTATGTGCAGAGGTTCAAAAATGGGACGTGATGATGTTTGGGTGGGTGGGCAGAGTCTCCCACCACCGGCCCTATCAGATCGCCCGAGCCAGATAGATCCAGCTGGATTTCATCACTGGTTCAGAATCACTTAGGTGAGATGGGCGGTGTCTAAATTTAATTAAAAAACAAACAAACGGAGATGTTTGCCCATCCACAGTTCAAGAAGCAAAGTCACTTCAAAGCTAGGCTGATACCTATCAGGAAAGGTGTTAAAAGAAATGAATTTCAGTGATCATAGTAATTTTTTAAAAATTCCCTTACAGATGTACAAGTATACATATATAGACATTTTGTGGAAATATTATCAGACCTTTTTTATGATGATGCCTATCTTTTGTTTTGTTTTTTACAAAAATATATTGTTTCTTTTCAATAATAATATCCAAATATTTTGTTGAAACAAATATCCAACCAGATTTTCACCTTAATTGCCCGCCCCCCAAAGCTTTTAAACTCCATGTAAGAGGAAAAGAGAAGAATTGGCTGGATACTACACCTTTGGTACAATTTTGTCCTGTCTAGGATGAATTAGGACCGTGATGGCGAACCTATGGCACGCATGCCACAGGTGGCATGCGTAGCCATATTGGTGGGCACGCGACTGTGGCCCTAGCTCAGTTCCAGCACGCATGCGTGCACCGACCAACTGATTTTCAGGCCTTCTGGTCCCACCGGATGTCTGGAAACTGGCTGTTTCTGTCCTCTGGAGGGCCTCCGGGGGGATGGGGAAGGCTGTTTTTGCCCTCCCCAGGCTCCTAGAAAGCCTCTGGAACCTGGGGAGGGTGAAAAACAGGCCTACCGGGCCCACCGGGCCATCGCATGCCAAAAGCAGGGGGGAGCATGGGGGGGTCACATGCACATGCGCAAGAGGGAGGGGTGCATTGAATTATGGATGTGGGCACACGCACCCGCGACACCCCCCCCACGCGACCCCCGCTTTTGGCACGTGACGGCAAAAAGGTTAGCCATCACTGAATTAGGACATTTAAAAACATTTTATACATTTTATCCATTTTGATGAGTAGTTTACATCTGTAAAACTAGCTAAGAATTTGCTTTATGGATTCATTTGAAAGTATTTATACCCTCCCTCTAGTTTATATGAAGTGACATAAAAATGACTTTTCCTTACTATATTGAGAGAGAGAGAGAGAGAGAGAGAGAGAGAGAGAGAGAGAGAGAGAGAAATACATGAGATAAGAAAACCACCATCACAACAGAAGGATTATCAAATGAATACATTCTACATGATTTTCATGTTATGTATAAATTATTTTGAAGTATACAACTTGAGTCCCTAGAGCCACAAGAATACCCCAAAAACCTTGGGTACAGCCTGGAGTGTCTCTAAAACTGCTGCCAATTATAATTTGTAATGAGTCAGTAAGGGCCGAAGATTAGATACATGTTAATTTTAATTGAGTTAATTGTAATTTTAATTAGATTTACATTCAATCAAATTCAGTTTTTGTCCTATCACTATCTCTTTGTTCTGGCCCCATAGATTTTTTGTGTGTGTGTCCCCAGAATACTACTCAAAACTCAAGAATGGTTTTTAGGACCTTTCCTCATTATTGAGTAGAGCTAGTGTTTTCTGCCAGTCCTTGAATTAACGAAAAAGGACCATACAATAATAGAATATAAGAGATGGAAGAAATCTTGGAAATTAGGTAATCGTCTTCTTATCCAGGCAGGAATCCATTTTCTATTATTCCCATAGATGGCCATATAGACTCTATTTAAGCGCTTTCTGAAAAGAAGAGTCCACATATCATGATGTAATCTCTTTTATTGTTGAACTCCTCTTATTATTAAGAAATTCACCCAATTGAAATCTACTTCCTTGCAGTTTGAAATCTATGTCACGTTTCCTGGGTCAACAGTGAATAAATCTAATCCATATTTTATTATTCCTTCCTATGGTCTTCTTATCTCCATGATAAAAATACCCAATATCTCCAACCATTTCTTGTAATATTTTTCCTCTAGGTCTTGGATGCCCTCCTTTGGACATGGTTCAGCTTGTCATTCATCTTGCAAAAATATGATTGATAACCATATTTCCTAACACATCATATAAATCATTTATAAACAGAATGATTTATATGACCTAGAATCAATTTCTGCTATGTTCCACTTGATATTTCCTGATTGACCTGGAGTCATTCATACACATTTGTTGGGCATAATTGTCCAACCAGTTCTGCACCCAATTAATTGTAACAAAATCTTACATTCTTCCATCTTGTCTTTTAGGTTTCCTTGGGTGGTTGGCACCAAATGTGCTGGTTCCATTGCTAACCCTCCTCCTCCTCTTCCTCCTCCTTCTGCCATATCTGTCATTGAACATTGGCAATCATGTTGGCGATCCTATTTTTATCAACACGGAAAAGTGCTGCTGAGTTTTGTCCAAACCAGTCCCTTAGATTTTGAAGCCATGATGTTCTTCTGCCTGGACCTTGCTTGCCTTCAATCTTTCCTTGGAGGATTAAGTGAAGTATGCCGTTTTGGGTTTATCATGCTTCTAGCAGACCAGGAGATTCTTAGTACCCCTGCCCCATTTAAGGGGCGCCCGTACTCGGGGCCATTGTTAGGTTTTGCCACCATTAACATGATTTTTCTGGGAAATATACAGTATAGTGTAGTAGTCTTCCCTTAGCTTTCTACACCACTGTGCACATGCTGTTCAAGTGGCTGCCACCACACCATGTGCTCTTCTTCAGAAGCTGTTCTGACCAATGTGGTCTCTGCCTTCAGTCGATACTGATGACTCAGCTGCCATTCACTAGGCCTGTTGGTACACCGGAGGTATTTGATTCCCTCCAACCCACCATTACAGAATAAAAGCCATACTGGGTAGAGGCCCCCAATCCGCCACCCAGGGATGCGCTCTGTGGGGGTTCCAGGCTCCCCCTAAGAGTGCTAATCTTTATCCTGCATCTATTGCTTTGTTTTAAGTGAGCACAGCTCTTTCATGTTAAAGGAGACAAAGCTTACGAGATTTTGTATACAGGCAGACCTTGCTTAAAGACTGTCCATTCAAAGTTACAATAGTGTTGAAAAAGTAACTTTATGATAGGTCCTCACATTTACGACCATTGCAGTATCTCCGTAGTCACGCAATCACCATTTGCATGCTTCACAGCTGGATTCTGACAAGCAGAGGCAATAGAGAATATGGATGAGAAAAAATTGGGAACTTTGTTACTATATATGTTGACAGCAGCAAGACTACCGTATGCACAAAAATGGAAGGACACTTCAATTCCTCCCATTGAAGAACGGTTGGCAGAAGTGGATGGAGTTGGCTGAAATGGCAAAACGGAGTACTTTGATTAAAGAAAAGAACATAAGTACTTTTGTTTCCACATGGAAACCGCTTCTGAACTTTGTGCTTGATGTGGAAAAGAATGAAACTCTGACTTTGGGTTTTACAGATTAGGCTGATGGATCTTTATAGAAATGACTTGTTCATACTATTGATACGCCAGCTCTTTCTGGATCGGGACTCCTTATGCACGGTCACTCATGCCCTCGTCACTTCTCACCTGGACTACTGCAATGCTCTCTACATGGGGCTCCCCTTGAGGAGCACCCGGAGGCTCCAGCTGATCCAGAATGCAGCCGCGCGGGTAATTATGGGGGCGACATAGTGCTCCCATGTAACACCTCTCCTGCACAAGCTGCACTGGTTCCCGGTGGTCTTCCGGGTGCGCTTCAAGGTATTGGTTCTCATCTTTAAAGCGCTCTATGGCTTAGGGCCTGGGTATTTATGAGACCACCTTCTGTCACTGATAACCTCCCACTGGCCAATCCACTCCCACAGAGAGGGCCTCCTCAGGGTGCCGTCGGTCAAGCAATGTCAACTGATGACCCCCAGGGGGAGAGCCTTCTCTGTGGGGGCACCTGCCCTCTGGAACGAGCTACCCCCAGGAATACGACTGATCCCGGACCTCCATACTTTCCGTTGAGCTTTGAAGACCTTCTTATTTCAGCAAGCCGAGCTGGCTTAAAATTTTAATGGGTTATTTCATGGGTAAAGGGTTTTAAAATTTGGGGAAGTCAAACTGATCTAATTGTTTTAATTTATTTTAACTTTTATATTGTATGTATTTTAATCTTGGCTGTTCACCGCCCTGAGTCCTTCAGGAGAAGGGCGGTATACAAATTTAATAAATCTAATCTAATCTAATCTAATCTATTATGGAATAGCAAAAAGTTGTGATTTGATGTTATTGCCTTATTTTACTGTAACAGAGAGTCGGAAGTCAAATGCTTCTTTTTATTTTTTCCTTCTTATCTTTCCTCATTTCACTTCCTCCTTTCCCCTCCCTCCATACTGCTCATCTATTTACTTTTGTATTTTGTATTTTATAATCAGAGGTGGGTTTCACATAATTTTACCATTGGTTCGCCGCACACAAAAAAACATGAGCGCGCACGCATGCACGCGGCTTAAAAAACGTAGCTAAATAGGATGGCATAGTGCCAGGGCAGGTGGGCAGACCCCCATCCGCAGGTCACCACTACCAGTTTATACCGGCTGAATACCACCACTCTTTATAATACTCTATAACTTAATAAAAACAATGGTAAAGAAAATAGAGAATATGGCAGTAAAATCATAAGTCACAGTCATGTGATGTCTTGCTTGACAATAGTCTTGTCAAAGTCATGTAATATTTTGCTTATTGACTGTGTTGCTTAGCGATGGAGTTGTATGTCCTGATTGTGGTCCTTAAATGAGGACTAGTACCTTGACACTCTCCTTGGCTGGTGCTGGAATAAAGATAGAAACATGGTTTTAAACTCAATACTTTTAAGAACAACTTGGGATTGTCTGACTCATGAGATTGGGAAGAAATGAAGGCACTTTCGTGGGAATATTGGAGAGGCGAAGAAGCAGTTAAGTAGAGGTAGGGAAAAACTCTGCACTAAACTGTGTAGCTCTACCCTAGTCCATATCTCAAGAAAGCTTTAGAACTTCCTTCTTTTGTTGGTATCTCCCTAGAAACTGCAGCATTGCTTAGAAAGACAATATGTACCCATAGGAGAGAAGCAGCTGCCCTTTAAATGTTCTTTCCACAAAGTGATAGCCACATTTCTCT